ACAACAACAACATCTAAACTCTGGTATGTGTTTCATCTCCTAATTATTTTTTTTTCCATTTAATTTTGTGAATAATTAGAAATTTATATTATTTTACCATCCCGGGACGTAAGATTTTTCACTGTGTCCCTGGGTTCTGACATGAATCTAGAAACATGCACACCTCACTGAGGGCTACGCCTTTATCTTCAGACTAGCGTTTATAGTTCAGTTCAATTCCGATATCATGAAGTTGGCTCATCCACATGAAGAGTTTATAATATGAGTAATTTTAGGAAAAAAATTTCCATATGAACTAAGCGGGGGCATTTTTGTCTCATTTGGTGTAAGGCTGACTGCTGCAACAAGCAAGCTCAAATAGCTTTGGCTTCAAAATAAGATTAGTGTCATTTTTGTTGACATCAAGTTGATTGTCAAACAACAACAACAACAAAAATCAAACTCATTACCATTGAGTCGATTCAACTCATAGCGACCCCTCCTTGGATTTTCAAGGCAGTATCTCCGCGGAAGTAGATTGCCGAGTCTTCCTTCCGAGGGAGGAGTGGCTGGTGGGTTTGAACTGCCAACCTTCTGGTTAGCAGTCAAATGCCTTAGGCGCTACGCCACCAGGGCTCCCATGTGCACAGAGCAGAACTTCTCCACGGGGTTTTCAAAGCTGCGACTTTTTGGAAGCACATCACTAGGCCTGTCTTCCATGGTGCTTCTGTGTGGGTTCAAACCAGCACACGTTTGGCTAGTAGTCCGGCACTTAACCCTTTGCATCACCCAGTAACTCCCAAAGTAAGATTAGATTCTGAGATTATGTTTCTGAGATGACAGGCTCTATCTTAGTCTCACCTTCTAGCACTCTCCCTTTTGACCCTGAAGATTGCCTATTACTTCCCCATTCTTCCCACTTGTAGGGCAGCAATACAGTGGGGAGGCTTTTAACAGTGCTGATTCCAAGCCTAGTAACATGGGGCCCTCTGAGGACAAGCGTCTAATCGATGGCTACCTCGATCGTGCCCTGGATGGCGCCAATGGCTAAGGACTAGACTAGTAGTCAGAAGGTTGGTGGTTCAAAGGCACCCAGAGGCCCCTCAGAAGACAGGGCCTGGTGATCTGCATTTCGGCATTCCTTGGCTTGTAGATGGATTTTCAGAGAGTGTCTTCCCCCTGGGTATGTGTCTCTCTGTGTCTGTTTTAAGGAGTTCTGGTGGCACTATAGGAGCTCTGGTAGCCTAGTGCCTAAGCAAATCATGAGGCCTGCATTTGACTGCTAACCAGAAGGCTGGAGGTTCGAACCCACCAGCCACTCTTTGGAAGGAAGGTTGGGCAATCTACTTCTGTAGGGACACTGCCTGGGAGACCCAGGTAAGGGCTGCTGAGTCTGATCTGACTCAATAACACTGAGACAGTGAGTTTGGTTTGGCTTTTTGGTGGCACTGTGTTTAAACCATTGGGCTGCTAACCAAAAAGGTCAACAATTTAAACCCACAGACACTCCATAGGAGAAATATGAGGCAGTCAACTTCCATGAAGATTGACAGCCTTGGAAACCCTATGGGGGGGTGGTTCTACTCTGTCCTCTAGGGCCTCTGTGAGTTGGAATTAATGGCAGTGGGGGTGGGTGTCTGTTTTCCTTTTCTACAAGACACCACTCATAAAAGATTACATTAAGAAAGATCAACAATTACTTTAAGACAAAGATGAGAAGGGAATAGGGAAACTAAATTCATGGAAATGGAACAACCAGAACAGAAATATTGAGAATGTTCATGCATTGACAAGAATGAAACCAATCTCACTGAACTATTTGTTTAGGAATTGTTGAATGATAAACTAAAATGCTCTGTAAACCTTCACCAAAAACACAATAAAGCATCATTCTAAAAAAAAATTAGGTTATGATCTCATTAACATAATGGAAGAAAAGTCCTTCACCTACTCATCACTTATCAACAGTCTTATTATTCAACATTTTGCATTTACAACTTTGAAAAAATTCTCAGGTGGTGGGTTCCACAGGGGCAGCCAAGCCTGCGGTAACCTCCGTGGGCCACCCTGAACAATATACCCCAGGTCCAGCCATCATCACTTCCAGCCCCGACAGCCGCCATGGTGGTGGAGAAGGCATGGTGGAGAAGAGGGACCCACTGTGCCATGTGCATCCTGAGACACGGTGAGAGGGGGGCACACCAACCCCAAAGATGCCAGTTTCCCCTTATACATGGTTATTGGAACCTAACCACGTTGGTAAGTGAGGAGTGCCTGTATTTCCAAACAAAGTCATATTCCCAGGTACAAGGGTTAGGGCTTCAACCTATCTTGTTTGGGGGACACAACTCAATTCATAACTAAGACTCAGGGGAAGGGTCCAAAGCCCTCTTCTGCCCCTCATCACACAGCCCGGAGTAGTCAGCGCTAAGGAAACAAAGTGATTCCTCTCTGACCCTGCACCCCTTAGTCATCACTGATGTTGATGTTGATGCTCTCCCAGGAACGTACAGGAAACTTACCTACTCAAGCCAGCTTGGGCTCCTGGATCTACAAGAGACTCTCCAGAGATGCTCCCTGTTGGGAATCAGTGCCTTAGTTTGCCCAACAAAGACAGAATCAGCCTCTATTTTACCTTTGTGGGGAAACAGATGCTCAAATACTCGTGCCCTGGAATAACTTCTCCATGTGCCATGGAGCACTTGAATGGAGAGCACAGTGCTGTTGGTTGTCATTGAGCTGGCTCTAACTCGTAGTCACATCTTGTACAACAGCACGAACCATTGCCTGGTCCTTCACCATCCTCACAATTGTTACTATGTTTGAGGCCATTGTTTCAGCCGCTGTATCAATATCTCATTTGGGGTCTCCCTCTTTTTCACCGATCCTCTACTTTACCAAGCATGATGTCCTTCTCCAGTGATTGGTCTCTCCTGATAAAGAGAGCAAGGTAAGCAAGACGAAGTTTTGCTATCCTCACGTCTAAGGAGCATTCTGTCTGCACTTCCTCCAGAAGAGACTTGTATGCTCTTCTGGAAGTTCATGGACTATTCAATATTCTTTGCCAACACCCTCTATTTTACTAAATATGAGGTCCTATTCTGGCATTTGGTCTTTCCTAGTGATATGTCCAAAGTAAACTCCTCAAAGTATATAGTGTTTCTTCCCTGTGTTTTTGTAAACCTGTGTTTGCTCTGTAAGCCTTCACCAAAAATGCAATAAAAAAAAAAAAAAATAGGTTATGATCTCATTAACATAATGGAAGAAAAGTCCTACACCTACTCGTCACTTATCAACAGTCTTGTTATTCAACACTTTGCATTTACAACAACTTTGGAAAAAGTATATTGTGTTTCTTCTACCTGTGGTCATCACCATTAACTCATTGGAACTCCCATCTAGCATCCTGCTCTGTGAACCTCTGCAAGGTTTAGTTCTGAGCCCTTCATGTGGGAAACACCTGTAACATGGAGCTCCAGATGACAGGTGAAACCCCCCTATGCCTATTCCTATAACATCTTAGAGAATGTAACCAAGAAATAAGGGGCTACCATTCAGGACTAGGAGTGACTCAGGATACAGTTCTTTGGTCAGGACAGCTTCTCAGCCACGCCTCAGGCAGGCCTCTCCTTCATCCCTTCAGGGTCTGTCTTACTTGGTCAAGCTTTACAAAGCTCCACAGACAAGTGCCTGGAGACACCCTTCTCTGCCAGAAAGCCTCTTGCCTGAAGTCTCTCAGCTCTCTCACTCTGCAGGCTGGCACATCCACTAATACTGCCTCACTCCAAGGGCTGGAAAGCCCACCATGCCATCCCATGCTGGTGTCTTGGAGCTATCTTCACTGTTTCTCTGCTGATACTTCTTGTCATCTGTGCCATGTCCAGTGTAACAGCTCTCTCTTTCTCCTGGGTCCAGGAGGTTCTCAGCACAGGGACCCTGGATCCAAAGGATGTGTGTGCTCCACTCTTAGTTCTTCTTTCTTGGTGGCTGTGAGGTCCCCCTTCCCCTTTCCAGTTCTTGGATGGCTCATTTTAAGTCTAGCAGGAAGGCAAAACTAATCAGTCCCCTCGTTAGGGTTCCATACATATTATTTGCATGGTCTCACTCCACAAAGGTGCCCTGCCCCTTATGTGCATTATTAGTGGGGCTGTCCACTACTCTTGGTGGGCCACAAGCACCTTATTTGCATAGTCCCATCCCATTATTTTGTGAGAATCAGAAGACTATGCATGACTAGAAAGACCATATCAAGTAATTCATTGCACAACAAAACCCTTATTTTGTATGATTCTCAGGGCTTTCCTGTGTGTCAAAATGTACACGGTCATACACTCTTACAATAATTTCTACATGTACAACTCAGCAACATTGACTACACTCTTCAAATCGTGCAAACATTCTTACCTTCTTTCTCCAAATTGTTCCACCACCATTTACTTCAACTCACTGCCTCCCAAGCTTCTCATCTAACCTTTCAAGTTGCTGTTGTCAGTTTGATCTCACATAGATCATTCTTTAAAAGAACACATTGCTCAAGGCAGACATATTTTACTTATGAAGATAAACTATTTTTTTGGGTTCAAAGAAGACTTCAGTGGATAGTTTTGGTTTACAGTTTAAAAATTCTCTCAGAGTAATAGTTTTGGGATTTCATCCAGCCTCACTGGCTCCAGGATTCCACTGAGTGATTCTCAGATTTTTGTTCTGTACACTGCTCCCATACCTTTCTTGGGAATAATGTTCACATTTCACAGTGTAGAACTTGAACCAGAAGTGAGTTTCAGGCCAGGCAACCAGGCATCAGTTAGACTAAAAGTGTGGTCAACATTGTCATAGGTGTGATGTCCTTCATCCTTCAGACCTCGTGGTCAAGGGTGGAGGGAGAATTGTGAATCTATCTATTAAAAAACTCAATGTGAAAGCCCCGTGGTGATTGGTGCTAGGCCTCACCCACCACATCCTGTGTGACTCCTTGACTTGTTGGACTTGGTTCTCCACACACTCCTGGCAGAATCTGTGCTATGCCATCAACACTCACTGCCCTGCTCTGCCTTGGTGAGCTCTCGTGTGGAAGGAAGATGGAATCCAGGGGTCTGCCTCTCCACTGGGTGGGGCAGCGTATGTCATTGTTCCTCTCCTTCCAGGACTGTGTCTGAGCCAGATGATCAGCTCCCAGAAGCGTGAGTCCTCCTTGCCAAGCCTCAGAAGCACTCTTCTGGGCCCAGACTACGTACCCACCTGAGAACAGCTGGGGAGTAAAGGGAGGTCTTTACCTGCGAGGAGGGTTGGCAGCTGGCAGCGGGGTGGGAAGTAGGGTGGTTGGAGGGGTCATTGGGAACACCAGTCTCTGATTGCCTTTCAGATCATCTCTTGAAACCCATCATCTGGGCCAAGCCCAATTCCATGATTCCCAAGGGAAAGCCGGTGACCATCTGGTGCCAGGGAACTCAGGAGGCTGTTGAGTATCACTTGCTTTTTAAGGGACAACTTTCTGCCTTGAAGAGACAGAAACCACACAGATGGGTGGACAAAGTCAGATTCCCCATTCCGGCCATGACAATACACACTGCCGGGCGTTACAGCTGCGTCTATCTGAGTGGCGAGCTCTGGTCAGAGCCAAGTGAACCCCTGGATCTGGTGGTAACCGGTAAGAGAAGGCAATGAACTCCTTGTCCCAGTCCCTAGTTGTGGAGCCATCTCCTCAGCCTGAATCTTGTCAGGATCATTTAAGTCTTCAAGTCTTTCCAAGGTCTACTCAGATAGTTTTTCTTGAGTTCAACCACTTTCTAAGTGTGTGTGTGTTGGCAAGACCCCCAGAGCATTGTCTCTATGCAAATTTATATTGGGTCACATTTCCCAAGAAACACAGTGAGGCAGATATCTGTGTGCAGGAGTATTCCTGGGCAATGTCTTCAAAAGCAACATTGGTGATGACAAGGGGAGTAAGACTAGACAGAAGAAGTCGAACTATGATGCAATTTCAGCAGAGACCTCACCAAACAAACAAAAATTCCAGATCTGGGTAGGCTCTAAGATTATCATCAAATGAAATTAGAGGCTCTGGGACTGCATGCTCAACATTTACCAATCATTAAATGAAGAGCACCCCTGGGTGAAGGCAGGTCATCTTTGGCCCAGGGAAGTAGTTCTTGAGCCTCACCTGGAGGGCTTGTCAAAAGACAGATAGCTACCGCTTCCTCCTAAGTTTCTGATTCAGTGGGTGTTATGGATTGAATTATGTCCCCCCAAAAAATGTGTGTTGCAATCCTAAAGCCCTATAACTGTGGACGTAATCCCATTTGGGAACAAGGTTTTCTTTGTTACGTTGTCGTGTGCCATAGAGTCAATTCCACCTCCTACTGACCCTACAGGACAGAATAGAACTGCCCTATAGGGTTTCCAAGACTGTAATCTTTATGGAAGCAGATGCTGCATCTTTCTCCCATGGAGCAGCTGGTGGGTTCAAACCCTTGACCTTTTGGTTAGAAGATGCCTGTTCAACCACTGCTCTGCCAGGACTCCTTTATCAGCATAAAGTGTAGATTAGACAAAAGGAGAAGGAGGGGCGAATGGGGGAAAGTGGGATGCCACATGGAGTTCTCCAAGGAACCCAAGAACGCCAGGGCTACAGAATCGGAAACAAAGGTTTTCCCCCAGAGCCAGTGCCCTAAATTTAGACTTCTAGCCCCCTAAAGCAGAAGAAAGATGGGGCAATCTACTTCCATAAAGATTTACTGCTTCAGAAACCCAATGCTTGATGCTATCAACTCAATGTCAGTGAGTTTGATTTTTTTTTTTATTTTAGCATCCTAAACTGTGAACAAAATAAATTTCTTTAAAGCTCCCCATGGGTGGTATTTCCCTTAGAGCAGCCCCAGGAGGCTGAAACACGGAGCTCTGGCGGTGTAGCAGTTAAAGCATTTGGCTGCTCACCAAAAGGTCAGTGGTTGGAACTCACCAGCTGCTTGGCAGCAGAAAGATGAGGCAGTCTGCTTCTGTAAAGGTTTCCAGCCTTGGAAACCCAACGGGGGTCCTTATGAGTTGGAATCAACTCACTGGCAGTGAGTTTGGTTTGGTTTGAGGAGACCAAAACAATGGGTCTAAGGTGAAGTCTGGACATTTCCATTTCCCATAAGCTCACAGATAATGCTGCCCCTGGTCCAGGGACCAAACTGTGAGAACTACTGGGGAGGGCAGTTCCCAGAGACAGAGTGCGCTGTGAGCTCTCAAGGGTTAGTATCCCCAGGAACCTGGGGGAGCGAACGCTTCAGTCCTGAAGGAGAGACCAGGGAAAGCGCGTCCATGATGGGGAATAAATCTAGGAGATAGAAGAGAAGGAGACTCCTGAGAGTTACGTCCCGGTCTTAAGGGCAAGGGGGATGGGACTTTGTCTTATTTCCTCAGTGCTGCTCTAATAGAAATGTAAGTGGGTGACTTTAATGGACAGAAATTTATTTTCTCACAGTTTGTTGTCTGTTGTTGTTATGTACCGTCGAGTCAGACCTGACTCATAGTGATCCCTCCTCCTTGGGTTTCCGAGGCAGTATCACTATGGAAGTAGATTGCCCAACCTTCCTTCTGAGGAGTGGCTGGTGGGTTTGAACCGCCAGCCT